ATCGTCGGGGTTGTGTCGGTTCCCTCAGCCTCGATGACGGCTTTAATTCCCTTGTGCGTCTTCAAAATAAATCGTTCGGAAGGGACCAGTGTCTTGGGAAATTCGCTATAGGAAGATTTAAATGTCGAATATGCCTGTCTAAAGGTCGACCTCCGAGATCTCTTGATTGGGTCTTCTTCAGCCTCGAGCCTGAGCTGAGTCTGTTCCTCCACAAAACGCTCGGCTTTGGGTTTTATTCTCTCCCAAGCTGAAGATAGAATAATTAGGTGTGAGCATAGATACGTAATCTGCGAGAGACCGAGTTCTTGGACCGGGCGGACGGACCTGCGGCTGTAAGAGGCTTTCCGCCCCAAAAGAGGTTTGGAATACGCCGATAAGTGAAGGCGGCCTGTCGTACATCTCGGACATCATGTCCTGCTTTTACCAGCCTTGAGATAATTCTAAGAGCCGATGCCGTGTATTCAGCTTTTACTCTCGAGGGAAACGGACCCAAGATAATATGGATAGGACGCACTCTTCCTTCCTCGCTTCTTTGAGCTGAAGTTCCACCTCTATTCGTAACCGTTGGGAATCTTCGGTCCATTCGCGAAGAGTCTTGGCTGAAGCAATTCGTTCGGAAGCTTCGGATCTAATTTTTTCGATCAAACATTCGAACTCCTGGTGAGCGCCTTCATCTCGAGCCTCGAAGCGGAACTGGTATTGTTCCACAGTCTCAGACATCTTCTGAAGCTCATCAATGCGGTAGTAGTCATCTGATGGGCTCTAAAGACAAGGGGTTGCCGTCAACTGAGATGGGGCCTTTCAGCGTGGCGGACACTCACCATACGTCGCTGTGCCCGTTGATACACTTTATGGAGAATTGTCGAGACGCAATCAGAGACGAGAAAAAACCATGAAAAGGCGCGATAATGTGTTTACGCACTATTCTCCCCTGGTAGAACCTCAAGAACGGTCCGAAAGTTGTCCAAATACGAATATTGCTCAGAGGCTGCCCGGCCAAAAACGACGCTGCATAACGATAACGTCAGTTGAGCGGCGGAGAACCCGAGACGACAGCCGAGATTACCTAGACTGGAAACATGATCTGCAGGCTCTGAGCCGTAGGGTGTACCAGACATACTGGCATTGGGTGGGGGACTTGCCGCAAACCTAGTGAACGTTGTTTAGGATAGCATTAGTAACAATGGAAGTAATTCCACTGGGAAAGTCATAGTCTCACTGTACAGTCCTTTGTGAAAAGGAGGACGGCCAGTTGCGGTTCGCTTAGATCTTTTGGACATATGGGAACAGGGGGTGTGGCGGCTGCCCGTGCGGCCCTCCAGGCAATGGAGGATCGCTATTTATGGGGACAAAGCGTTTAGAGCTGGGCTCTCGAGTCTGTAAGGCGTGAGACAGACCTTGGACATGAGAAACGACCGCAACGCCTTGTTGGTTCTCGAAAGCTGGAGGAGTTCCAGCGGTGTCAGGAACCCGAATATCTGCGATCCAAGCTGAGTTAGAGCCTCCATAGTATTCTGATCGTGTACTTGCATGCCTCGTATACTGTGTCGAGTGGCAAGGGAGTGAAAGGGTCTCCTACTCGAGACGTCTTGCGGTTGTTGGATCCACCAGCCGCTCGTGAACTGCCGGAAATTCTGGCCTTTTTCCGCTTCGGTCTGGTTTCAGCTGCCATACACGTATAGTGGGATATATATTATTAGGTTATTATACCAGTAGTTAGGAAAACGCTGTACTAACACTGAGACTCTTCCTTCGTAGCCCCTTTCTCCCGCATGCTTAGGTCTTCTATTTTATCGTCGCTCTGTTCCTTGTAGTTGATGACAGCTTTCGACCTTGTAAGAACCATCCCGGGGAGAAGGGCTTTGAATACGAGCAATAGGCTGAAGTTATCGCAGAGCGAGCAGGTTATGCCTTGTGGTGGAGGACAAAGATGGTTACCGCGCCACACGGACAATGCCGGCGTTTGGGAAATATCCCCGAGTATCGAGGCCATTTACGCCACGCGTTTGTTCGCAAGCTTCAACATTTATACCTAGATCGTCGTGCCTAGTTCATCACCGTCGGTGAGTCATCCTCGGCTCCGGAGGGCTGTCCTCGAGGGTTTCCGGAGGTCCGGTCTGATGAACCCGCCTAAGTAGCCTTGAGAATCAGGGACTACCGGGATTGAGAAGGGATTTAATTAACTTTAACATCAAACGATCTTGCTAACAGGCTTCCTCAAGTCCTCCAAGCCAGTGGGGGGCGTGCCGTATGAGAAAATGAAAAGAGCTTTGCCTGAGTCCGTCAATGTAACAGACAGGTTGAGTGGCGCGCCAAGACGTCAGGGACTGAAACAAGTCCATTTTTACAGACGAAACATTTTTATACACGAAGGCTGACTATCCCCACTTATACACCCTTGGTCTCCTCTACCCACTCTTCCATAGTCTTCCATTTCCAGTATTTCTGACCAGGGTTCAAAATCTCGTTCGCGTTGTCTTTGGTGAAGTCGGTGAGGCCATGTCCGTAGCCGTACCTGAGGTAGAACGAGACGGTTAGCGTACTCGTACTGGCACGTCTGAGCAATTGAATTTCATACCTGAGCGCGCGCCAGAAACGGGTCCATGGATCACCAGTCGACAGTAGGTTTTTCGACTCCGCGTCGTCAACCTCGACAACCTGGATCTCCGTGCCCCGAGCTTTGCCGACGAGAGCGGCCAGTTGATTGTATGAGACAGCAGAGCCGCTGATTCGCGTGAAGTCGGGGACGGAGTTTGGATCCGCAGCGGCGAGGACTGAGATGCGGACGATGGAAGAACTGATATCCTCCCTGGAGTTGAATGAGATTGGAGTCTCAGCGGGTCCGAAGCTCGTGTAGACTCCGTTCTTAATGTCGAGTCCGAGGGTTTCCTGAGATACCAAAAGGAGAAGTCGATGAGTTGCCGCTGAGCACTCTGCTAATAGAGACACCTACTCCAAGGCCGAACGTATCCTCCAAGAACAGACCGACGTAAAGGCTAACGATCTTGACCTTTCCCCCGGAGATTGAGCTTGCATAGTGGTAGTGGGCTTCTTTACCGTCGAAAAGCTCGTGGTGGAAGTCGTTGTTGCCACGGTGGTCACTGGTTCAGTGTGGAATGGAGTGAGCCTCCAGACCGCCGACCATTTTAGGCCGAACTCACATTCCGAACTCGCTGGGGATATACACTTTCACTCCAGCATCTACGGCTTCCTTGGCGTACTTGTTCATATAGTCGACGTCGGCAGCTCCACCAATCAGGCTGATGAAGACGTCGACGCCCTTCAAGCCGGCAGCGGTGACCTCACCCTCGATGGGTTCTGCGCCCAAGGTCTTCAGCTCTTGCGCTCCAGCAGAAGAAGGGTTGCGAGTGAAGAATTTGACTTTGCTAATTTGAGAGGGGCTGTACTCTGGTGAGAGGAAACGGCGGACGACTCGGAGACCTGTTCCGGTGGGGGGAGGTGAGTGGGAAGAAGAAAACAGAACACCACAAGTGATACCCACCGAGATCGCCAGTAGCACCAAGAATTGCGACTGTGATTGGAGACATGGTAGGTGTTCTGAAAGCTGGACGGAGGAGTGTTGAGATGCGAGGGAGCTTGAGTTTGCTAAACTATCGACCTCCATCCCCATCCATTTTATAGACATACTCCATTTCGGGACCAGTCCAATATGGACCTCGCGAAGGCGCACACGCAATCCTCATACACGCTAGATCTTTCCGCGGAAGAAAGGTCGAGCGTAGCTTCTCGAGCCGAGCTGTGCGGCATTCAACGCCCGATCACCACCCTACTACAGCTCAGAAGCGTCTTAGATTAGCAAGGCACCCAGAAAAGGAGAGGAAGGTCACCGAATTGCGGGTTGCTTTTGCTGAGGCTTCTGGGAAAGTTCATTCTTGTTCGGCATTTTGATGAGTAACGCGCGGGAAAACCGCTCCACTGAATACCGGCCGTTGACGTACTTCTGTGCATTGTCCCTCTTTTGCCTTTATGAGCGTAAACATCGCGCCTATGACTGAAATGTGTCTCGTAATGGACCTCCATGGATTGCGAAAAACGCCGAAGTTGGTAACACTCAAGTGGAGCGAAACAAACCTTGGCGGGCCGAATTCCGTCATGTCCGTACCTTTGGTGATCCCGTGACCACAGCCGCATGAAGGATAAACAATATTACTCCAGACGAGCCACCACAATGATCGCGATTCTGATGAAATGATCCACATTATTTGCGGGGTTTTATGATTATCGTGTAAGGTGGTGTAGGGGGGGGGCAGTGAACCCCTTGTTTGCCTTGGCTGCGTTAATAGCTGCCACAACTTTCCATCTTCACAAAGACTCCCCTGCATTAAGCAGATCATTCAAGTTCTCTTTGGAAAGATCCATCACATAGTTACTGAGGATATATATATCTGGCTTACGATTTGGAATGATACCGGGCACACGAGGTTATGTCAAGGGACAGCGAGTCGGCTGGATCGTCGAAAAGCCCCTCTTGGGTTCCTGTCCCGCTAGCCGACCTGACTTCGATCATTCCGCCGGTATTTTCCGTTCAGATCACTAAAAGATACTGCATATCCGCCGAGCCGGACGCGGTCGGAGACGGATGTGAGGTTAGTCGAGGTAAGGATCGACAATTGCCGATGCGGTCCTAATACCAGTCATGCTGGTGGTATTGGACTTATTGGTTTGGTCGGGGGTCCAGGGACGGCTTACATGCGACTTGGAGTGTTGAGTCCTATGATAGCCTTCAAGGGCGGAGGGATATTCGCTCGGTAAAAGCTGCGACTACGGCAGAGTACTTAGACTGATACCTCCACAGCGGACAAGTAGTGCAGCAACTGCCCAGAATAGACCGAGACGACTTTGGTCTTCCGCGGTCTGATTTGCGTGCCCCTTTTTTGTGAACCAATCTCATCTATAAAGGGGAGTTTAACGTCGAGCACCGGGCCTCGTTTGAATCGTGCCCGTGTGGCGAGCAATGGCGGGGTGTGAAAAAGAGAAGTTAGACCCGGCAGGATTTGAACCTGCATAGCCTTAAAAAGACGTAAAGCGAGCTTTACCAATTAAGCTACGGGCCTGAACAAACGGCAGTGCGCTAATGCTAAGTTGTGGCCTTTTTCAGGTCGACTTCTAAACAGGGTTCAATGAAGGCTAGATGAAGTTGTGTAGCCTCCATTTCGAAGATATGGTCTGACTTGAGCGCGGCGGTCGGATCTCTTGGCGACGAGGTGGACCGCTCTGATTAACCCCGTGACCGCGGCCATCGGGGGTAAACGTTCCTCGCGCGGCACACGTATGATGACCATTTCGCGATGAGCAAATGCACATATTTATTTCGTATACATACGGTTCTTTATTGACCGTTAAGTTAATTTGTAGGCGGGGCGCGATGAACCCCTTTGTTTCCTTGACCGCGTCCGCAATGGTCTCCACTTCCACAACGACCCTCCTGGGTTAACTAACTCATTCTCACTCTCTTTAGAGAAGTTCGTGACACCACTATCAAGTATATATCTGGTATATGATGCTAGTAAGCACACGCACTCCTAGGTCATTTCAATGGAATTAACGTACTCGACAAGCGACAGCAGGTCCGCTGGATTGTCGATCAGCTTCTGCTTGGTTTCTGCTACACTACTCGATTTGACCTCGATCGTTTCGCCACGATCGTCGAAAGTCACCGCATCTCCGCTAAGTCGAACGTGGTCGGGAACGGAGCCGGGGTTCTCCGAGGCGGGGATCGACAGCCGTGCCAAGACGGTTCCCACATCGGCCATGCTGGTAACAATGAGACTGGAGGAAATCAAGGAGCCCCCAACGAGATACTTACGCAACAAATTCATTAGGGAAGTAAACCTTCACAACAGCTTCAACTGCAGCTTGAGCATAAGTATCTTTAACTTCAGTGGGACTTTGTCGCTTAAGACGTTGATGAAGACGTCCATGTCCGAGAGGTGCGTAACGGTTGGCTCCCCCTCGATAGCCCCCGCACCGCGGGTTTTAAGGTCTTGAGCAGACCCCGAAGTGGCGTTTCTAGTAAATGCAGCCACGCGGTTCACATGTGAAGGATGAACCGAAGGTTTGAGGATGGCTCGAACGACGTGTGGACCTCAGCCTGGGTGAGCATCGCTCTTAGATCACTGCCAAGGGATTGCAACTCCGTACCAAGATGTCCCGTAGCGCTTGCGATTGTGACGTTGATCATTATGATGAGAGTTTAGAATGGAATAGGCGAAACGGACCGGCTCCCGGTCACCAGTAACAAGGTACAAGGCACTTGTCGCGTCATCTGTGGCAGACCATGTTGGATCGGTCAGCCTCCACCCATCCACCCCAACCCGGTCGAACTTCGATTCTTCTTGGCCAAACCCAACAAACGTCGTCCGTGAGAAAAGGGGGTCCTGTGCCTGTAGTGGAGGCTGAGGTAGGCTTGAGTCAGCACTTACAGTAGGCACAGTGAGCTCTCCACCATGGGTCCTTCCTTTGGCGACTGCGGGAGCACCGACGAATCATTCGTCGGGAAGGCGCATCGTCGAACCTGGACTATAAATGTGGCTATATCTGGGCATACATTACAGCATCAGCTATCGTG